CCAGGCATGACAGGTGGATTGGCTCTAGTAAAAACTGACTCTGGTGTTTGCAAATGGTAGAAAACTGGGGTCCAAAAGGGCTCAGAGTGGAGAATTTGTGAACTGTGGTCAGTTGCTGCAAACAGGCTCCATCCATCCAACACATGCAGGCTGAGGACCAAGTTATGGAAGAACTTCTTTTAATGTTTCTTACAAGGCAAGTTTACCAGCAACAAATTTCCTCAATTTCTCTTGTCTGTAAATCTTTGTTTCTCCTTCACTTTTAAAGGATAATTTCACAGAATGCAGCATTTCAGGCTTTTCTCTTCAACACTTTGAATATTTCACTCTTCTTGTTTGAGTGGATTCTGAGGAGTTCTAGCTTCTTTCAAGATATTTTTCATTTAGTTTTTTATTTTCTTCAGTTTGAACGTAATATGCTTAGGTGTAGATTTTTGGTACTTATCCACCTTGGTGTTCTCTGAACTTTGTGGATGTGTGCTTTGGTGTCTGACATTAGTTTTAGAAAATAGTCATTATTGCTTCAAATATTTCTTCTGTTCTTTCTGTCTTTATTCTCCTCCTGGCATTCCCACGACATATGTATGTCATACCTTTGTAATTGTCTTACAGTTTTTTTTCCTTATTTTGTTTTTGTTTCTCAATTATTTTGCTTTTATTTTCAGTTTTGGAAATTTTTCTTGTCATGTCTTCAAGTTCAGTGATTCTTTCCTCAGCACTGCCCTCTCTACTATAAGTCCATTGAGAGTACTCTTCATTTCCATCACAGTGTTTCTGCTCTCTAATGTTTCTTGTTTTTTTTCTTAGAATTTCCACCTCTCTGATTACATTGCCCATCTGTTCCTACCCGCTTTCTATTTTCCCATTAGCATGAGCACATTAATCATGCTCCTTTTAAATTTAAATCTCTTAATTCCAGCATCTCTGCCATATGGCATCTGGTCCCAATGTTTGCTCTGTCTCTTCAAACTGAATTTTTGGTTTTTAGTATGCTTTCTGGGTCTTTCTTGATAGCTGGACGTGATATACAGGGTAAAAAAGAACTACAGTGAGCACATTACCTTGAGTAATGTGGTAGTGTGTCAAGGGCAGGGATACATTCTACAGCACTTAGGATCTGCTCTCAGGCTTTTAGTGAACCTGTACTCCTGGACTGTGAACTTCACATATGCTTCTCAGGCCTGTCTACCCCTACCCTTAGGTGGGGCAGATTAGCTAAAGTGGGATGGAGCTGGATATTAACCTTCCCCCACATAGTGTGGTGCTAATAAAATTCCAGCAGGAATTTTAGGCCCTGGTAGAACAGTTTTTTCTTGAGGGCAAGCCTTCAAAAATGGCTGCCTTTCTACTTCCTCCTGCCTAAAGCTTGAGAAGATCTGCCCTTGATCTTCACTGTGAAAACCTGGGAGGACTCCTGAAAGTAAAACTTGCAAAAGTGCAGAGGCCCCCTTAAGACCCCTGCTCCCATGTGCACCACCATTGTTTCACTCTAAGCCTTGTCCTCAGCTGCTTGTCCATTATAGCTTAGTACCCTGATGAGGTAGTTGTTCTTATAGAGATTTCTGAATGTGGATTTTTACTTCACTAAGCTGTGAGCCTTATGTTCTCCTTTGGTCTTTCTAATGTTAGGGGAGTGGCTTGCCCTGTGACTTCAGTTTTCTGATGGTTCCAAGAACAGTTGCTGATTTTTAGCCTGCCCAGCTTTAACTTGTTGTTAGGACAGAGTAATGAATATCTGCTCCCTTCCACTGCCCTGGAATCAGCATGTCCTTTCTCTAGTTTCTTATGAACTATTTATGGATGCTCAGAGGAACTTTTTTTCTTTTTTCTTTTTTTAATTACTAAGGGCCTTTGAGATTCAGGCAACACAAATTTGGACATCAGAAGTTAAAATATTTCAGGCAAACTATTTGCTAAAAAATAGAATGGAAAATAAATTTACTTGTGTCTTTACATAAAATTATAAAGAAAATTCTTTCAATTTCAGGAATGTCCTTCCACAAAAAGATTTTATTTCATTACGTCCACAAAAGTTTTCTGCTAATTTTTAAAGTTTTCACTTAAAAAAAAAAAAAACAGAACTGAAATACAAGGCTCAAGAGAGAGAGAAAGAAAAGGAAAGAAAGAAACTCCAGTTTATCACTAGTCATCACTGAGACTTGATTCTAAATCTAATGTGTCTCAGCTCTCTGTAAGTACAGACGAGAACATTAGAACTATATCTAAGAACAAATTAATTCCCAAACAGTAAATCAAAAGATCATAACTATGTAAGCTACGTTTGATAGATGAGTTGTCAGTCAACTCACTTTATTAATGCTTTGGTGTAATAATAGTTAATTCAATTGGCTAGGCACTAAACTCAGTCTGACTTTTTAAACACATAATATTTAGTTTTGAGGTGATAGAGCAGTCATACTGGACAGCAATTTGATGATAATGTAACTTGTAATGAAATACTTTACAAGAGAAATCACAGGGTACTAGAATTAGGACCTGTGAGGTCTCAGGAGAGTTCTGGTTCCGTCATTTGGACAAGTTATCTAAAACTCAGTCTCCTCATCTGTAAAACAGGAAGTAAGAATAACTCTTACACAGTTGCTAGGATTCAGCGCGATCACGTGGGCAGAGTACCAACCTGCAGTAGTTGTTTGAGATGTGTTGATTTCTACTCCTTTCCATTCCAGTACCGTTTAGCTTCTTAGTGCTGTTATTCATGGATAGCAGCAGTACCCAGCAGTGTGCTTTATTTGAGACCTACAGTGGTTTTTTTCAATTGGAATTATTTAACAATATTTGAAAATTGAGCTGAAACTTGCAGGAGTAGGGTCTGCGTGGGGCCTCCACTTGTCAACTGAGTCACTGTTCCCATTGTTTTCACCACTCTCCACCACTCTTTCTTGTCTTGACACTGCCTTCCCTCATTTTACCAAGATGGCACCCCAAGATGTTTATGTTTGGGACATCTTCGGGGAGTGTAACATGGTTATAGGGTGGAATTAATACAGGAAAGATTGAGGACAGTTCACAGACGTAAAATGTGAGTTTAAATGATAGTTGCTTTGGGCAGATGGGTCTCTGAGTCCACGTCCATTTAATTTGAATATGCACCTATGGGTCCTTAACAGGGCTCCTTTGTGCTTAAAGATGAACCATATAGTATGTAGTATTGCATCACTGAACTTAACTCAAGCATATAGAGGATGAGAAAGGAAAACTATCTTTTCCAATACAGGCCTAGCTTTTTTTGGGGGGGCATACATGCCCCCCATATGCCAACATCCCCCACCCTCACCCTGTCAACAACAGTGTAAGAAAGAGTTTAGCTATCATTTCCAAACCTTTAGAATTAGAGGAATTCAAGCAAGAAAAGACAGAAGGAAGTTGACTGATTCCATAGGCAGAACAACAACAACAACAAAATACACTGAAGCAAAAATCACTCCAAAGCACATCAAAGAAACTCGTAAAAAGTGTACATTCTGCCTGACTCATGGAGTTTATTATCTCATTCTTCCACTTCAGTGTTCCTGGGGAGACCTGGACTAACTGTTTTTCCAGGAGCTGGCAGATTCAGAAGTGGAGGGAAAATGAGTTCTTGGGAGCTCAACTGTGGAGACAGAATCTGCTGTGGCCCCTGCCCAGACACCTGCTGAGAACTCCCAGACCCACACTCTGGGTGCCCACACCAGCACAGCTGGCTGAAGGGAGGTGGCCTTAGGGAAGATGACCATGTCTGCATGTAGGGAGAGATGATGCCATTGCCCAGAGGGGTCACACTGGCTGACCTTTCACAATCTTTACAACTTTATCCTCGCTGAGACATTGTAGGTGATTTTCTTAATCTTTTTAAAAATGTATCTTTTTTTTCAATCAACTTTTAGCAATTAAAAGGGCAACTTAGCAATTAAAAGGGCAACTTAGTGATGAAACCCTTCTGTCTTCAAAGTATGAAATTAAAAGACGATCATAACTACGTGCAAGAAAGCATCTGGATTCTGTATCATTTGGAAATGATAATAACTATTATCCACATGGTCTCATGTTCAGCACCCTCCACTGCATTCGCGATCACATGATGCCAGTGCAAGTTTGATTATATGGTTTGTTTTAAATTCTGCTGTGTCCTAGGTCAGTCAGTGTCAAGATGATTTACTAGAAATAGCTGCCATTTTTCCTTTGTAAATGTTGCTAGGTGCATGGACAGAATTAGAATATTTTTGGATGAAGTATATTTGGTGTGATGGCACTGTGGTCTTCTTAAACCTAACTACCTTATCCCTTCTCCTTAAGCTTCTCAAATCCTATTCTTGTCTGTCTTGGGTGCATAAAATAGCTCTGGTGTTAAGATTTCTAGAAATGTGCCTTATCTCTTTGTTTATGTTAATTTCCCTTAGCTTTTTATAGCTTTCATATGAGTGGCTGTAAGGTTAAGATATAAGTTTCTTGTCATCAGTGAGCATTATACAGAGGGCAGAATTGCTGTCCTAGGCCTTTTGCATTTCCCTCCACTGAAGGAGGGCATCATGAGGACTTAACCATGCTGAATGCTCCAGCTGTGATGTGTAGAGTGGGTGTATTCAATGTGTTTTCAACACATAACTTTGTCAATTTACTAGGACGTTTTGTCTGTCTGGAATTTTCTCTTTGACACTATATAGACAATGTAGACAATAATTTAGTAAAAAGTTAATAACTCTAGGAGCATACCAGTAAACAGATGATTATATTATATAAGAATCATTGATCATTTTCATTTAGCTTATCATAGGAAAGAGATGTTATTTTAAGGTGTGAATTTTTGATTACAGGCAATGGATAATTTTCATCTCTGTGTATGTAGCCTGGCAGAGTACCTGACATATAGAAGGTACATAAAGCACCACGTGAATGAGTAATTAATTCAACAGAGGTTATTTCTGAGTATCAGTTAATATACACATCACAGCTCCATTTTCCATACATGCACATGTCTACATAATTGAACTCTTTGTCCTAAGGAAACTAGCCAAGAAGCGGAAGGAGACAATGAGTAGCACCCGGCAGGAGATGACAGTGATGGTGAACTCCATGGACAAGAGCTACGCCGAGCAAGGCACAAACTGTGACGAGGCCTTCTCGTTCATGGACACGCACAACCTGAATGGGAGATGTAAGTGCACACATTTCATGGATTTTAATACATCTCTCTGGTTGTCCTGGATAGCACTGTGGGATTAAAAGCAAAAACTTCCTAAAGAATTGAATTCTTACACAGTATTGCTTTCTCCAGTCACTTTAAATGATCCTTAAAACTTTATATGCCAGAGTTGCCTAGCAAAGATGTTCTGAAGGTGCTAGGACCAGGTCAGAGAGAACCAGAAATCAAGGTGAAGTTCCCATTAATTCTCTGAGAGCAGTGACAGAAGCCTTCCTACTGGCTAAGGACAAAGGCACCTGCTTCTCACCATCCCTTTTGTTGTGTAGATCCCACTTGTAAGCAAGTCAGGTGTGGAACTACTCTAGGGAATCCTGCTACAAAACAGTTTGAGAAATGGCAGTAGCAAGTTAATTGTTTATTTGTTTAGCTTGCAGATTCTCCCCGTATTCTAGGACTGTTAGTGGCAATTAATAAATTAAAGTGTATTCTAACTTCACAAGTCTTAAACTTCACACCAGATGTGTAAACCAAGCTCAGTGAATACTTTCATGTGCCACCATCTGCAATCCAGGTATAAGCCATTATTTCAAGAAACTAACAACTAGATTGATTATATGATGTACAAGAGGAACCATTGTTTGGTCCCTGGTGATATTCTGAGAGAAGAGACAAATCCCAGGGTTGTGCCTGATTTTCTAGCTCAAGGCACACATTCAGGGCTGAGGATTTCTTTACCCCTGTGTATGAAACCCATGCCTCAGCCTGCCACTCATCCCACCTTCATGATCAGGACATTGTCAGCATGGAGATGGAATCTAAGTGCAGCACTACTGTGACCAAGATATTGCACAGAAGGGTTGTGCCTCATGACACCAAGGAGCACAAAGATGAGGTTTGGGTGGACAACTAAGAACCATTTGACAGTGTGTCCTGGTGTCCTGCCTGGGCTCTGTAGCCGATTCAGATGCTGCTGCTCTCTAGCCACTCCTCTCAGATCATGTCACAGCCCATGCATGGTACTGCCCATGACCCTTGCCTTTCTGTGAAGCTTCACAGAATTCAGTGATTTTTTTTGTTTACAGTGGTTGCAGTCTTACCACCTTTTCCTTGCACATTTAACTGTTCTCCACGCTTGCCCAGCCAGTGGACTTGCAGACAGCAGGTGCTGCTCTGACACAGGGGTGACGGCAAAGCCTCAATTTCCATCCTTGACTGCTGTCCTCTGCCCTCTGTCATTTCAATGTTGGAAGCTTTGGTTTCCCAGCATACCACAAATTACTTCCCAGTCTTTTGTTGGATTCGCTCTGCTTTTTTTTATTTTTGTACCAGCTGTTATTTTTTCACTTAAAAATACATATATAATGCATTTAACTATCAAAATAATGCACTCTGTCCTGCATTTATTATGGGCAGGGGCTATAGACACCCTTTGACTACATACAAGCTTGGAATTTTTATAGTGGCCGCTATTTCTTGAACAGCATCATTATGTAAAGCACCACACAGAGGCTGGGGTGTAGGACAGTGGTACAGCACTTGCCTAGCATGTGTGATGTACTGTATATGATCCCAGGCACTGCAAAAAAGAGGGGGGAGGGGGGACCATACAAATATATTCTCTCGCTCTCCAGGATAACTCATTAGGATACCAAACTTTCTATTTCATGGTGATATTCCTCATGAATAAATTTACTTAGAGTGACCTGCCCCAAGAACAGGAATCTACATTAGTAGTTTCCAGGCATTTGAAGTTTGAACCACAGGAGATACTTGCCCCTGGAAAGAAAGTTTAATTTGGCAGTTAATTTTTTTAAAGTCAGTGTATCTGTAGAAATCCAAAAATGTTCATACACAGAGGACTGCTGCAGAAGCCAGCATCCAAGGGCCTCTGTGGCTCATCTGTTTGGCATTGTTTGATACCCCCCAATAAAGCCAGCAGAAGAAACGCAGTAAGAGACTTCCTGTTTCCCTCCCACCCTGTCAGCAGTGAGTAGGTCTCGTGCAGTCTCATCTGTCAAAAGCACCCTGATGGTAAGCGTTTTCGTAATACTCTATTAATTCCCTTAAAATGAGTGCAGTTACTGGGGCAGATATTCTCAGGAAGGGTGCTCATTAGACCCCTGTACTGCCAGCCCCACCCCTACTGCAATTGTGCCTACCTGTGAGATCTTTGGGGGCTGGGAAAAAGCCCTAAAGCTCTTGAGTGACCTCACGTTTAGAAATGAGAGAGTGAGAAAAGTGAGACTGGAGAATTTAAAAGTAAGCATGAACACATTTACGAGAGTGGGGCGTAATCTGCCCACCAAAGCAAATATGAGTTTAGCCTTCTATTTTAATATGCTATAAAAATAGAAGCATAGAATATGGGCAGTAGGGATGGGTTGAATTTGTATACTACGAGACAAACAGATTTTAAAATATTGTAACAAAAAGGTGGAAATAAACATAACTATTTCATATCTGCCTTGCACATTTTTACCAAACACATAAGAGTGTCTGAGGGTAACAAAGCAACATTCTACTCACTAGCCCTAGCGTAGTTCATAAGGCCATGGTTTTTTAGCTTTTGTTTTCATCAACTGCAGCCTTCCACAAACATGCATCATAAATGTGACCCTCCTCTGTTATAGAGAAATATCAAATAAGTGACAGGAAGCCTGGGTACTGGTCCTTCTTCAGTCACTTACTAATTCCACCTTTTAAAAATCTGAATGCTGATAAGGAACTGCTCCTGAGAGCCAAAATACATTAACCTGTCATCAGAATAATTATAACATGCAGATCCATGGGATTTGGAATGTTTCCGATAAACAATAATGTAATTGCATATTAGTGTCCTGATGGAAACTCAGTATCAAATAAATCATGTAAGTATATCATAGGAGTATAGACAAGGTGGATCTGTTTAACCAGCTTGAGCATACTTAAATCCTATACTTTAATGAAATTAACGTGTTTTTATATCACAAATCAATTAAGATTTGAAGAGACTTAACATGCTACCTTAAAATAGAAAATATCTGTTTTTAATAAAATCATATGCATTTCATGAGACTGACTACCCTCTTAAGAATAGAGAGGAAGTTAGGGTTTAGCAGCGTTAAGTGCTTCAGAGGAATATTTTGAAGAAATACTTGCAAGTTTTATAAGGATTTAAAGACTCAAAGACAATATGGAAACATACAACTTCTATGTAATATACACCACCTTCATTTTTCATAAGCCAGGTCATAACAATGTGCATTTCCAAAAAATGAGGAAGGAGAGGATTTTAGGAATCTACAAAAACACTAGCATTCCCAGTTTTTTCAGAAGCCATGTGGAGACTCCTTCCCAAACCTTTAGTTGTAAACTTTAGCTCAATGCAACAGGAAGAAATATACAAGCAAAGGAGAGAAGCCAAACGGAAGTCTTCTGAATTTCTCTATTCAAAATGGTGCCTGTGGTTATGGGGTTTTTCCTTTATAAGTAAGACAAGTCTTTAAATGATAAAAGGGTGTTTAAACGTCCTCTAAAAGGGCAAGTAAGTGTAGGGCCCAAAGTGACCACGCGGAGAGGAGTGATCTGGCCAAGAGATGTTTAAACCCCAGAGACACTGAAGGGAGAAACCACAATGGGAGCCCAAGAAGGGTATGTGGACTCACCAAAAGAATGTCCAGTGTTGGATGCGAGTGAGGGCAATTGGGAGAATGAGTCCTGGCCAGTCACGTCCTCAGGGTGGTTGTGGGGTGAGTCGGAATCGGGGTCCCACCAGGATTAGTGGGAAGACCCAATCCGAATCATGGCACCAAATGTAGGGCCCAAAGTGACCACGCAGAGAGGAGTGATCTGGCCAAGAGATTCTTTATTGCCAGGGGTGGGAAAGGGAGAGAGCAGAGAGAGAGAGAGAGAGAGAGGCGCAGGGGCTTAAATACCCCTCAGTGAGACTCAGCATGATCTGATTGGTTAGGATCTTATGGTTCATGCTGATTGGAGGTTGGGGCAGAAGGAGAATTCAAGCTAGACTTGAGGCAGGACCTTGACCCTGGAAAACAGAAGCTTAAGGGTGCAGTAAGAACTGAAACCTATCGGCGCCATTATTGCCAACATTAAGTACCAGAGAAAGCTGGGAATGATATTATTTGCCATGTACACATCAGTGAATCTCGGTGGTTTCTTTCTAAGCAGTCCACATTGCCAAGAGTGGCTGAGGTGATCTCAGAGTATGGTATGTTGGGTGTTGAACCTCTCTGCAGCCTCTGACCAGCCTTTCTTTTATTTACAGCTGTGTCATCACCATCATCCTTTACGATGAAAACAAACACACTGAGCACATCGGTGCCTAATTCCTATTACCCAGGTAACAGAGTTCTCCATCATCTCCTGTCTTCATGGCCCTTTGGCAGTCAGAACCATCAGCCCCCCTGTGCTACTCCACACTAGGGGCTCCCTCTGTTTGAGACATTGTAAGCCAAGGCTTCCTGTGGTTTTCATGGGGAAATCAGGGGATCTTTCATCAATCATTTACTGTTGTTTCTCTTTTTACTTTCTCCGCATTGCCCTGCTTACGATGTATGACAGACCCATTTGTGCCAACTGCAATTTTAGGTGAGAACATTTCCCTTTGCCACAGTTTCATGCAGGAGGGATTGAGAAAGCCAATGGCCACTCTGAGGAGACTGCATTTTAATTGTGCATGGTGCAGTGATTAGCAGGGGGACTTGGGAGTGGAGAAGGAGTAGAAATAAGGGGAGGGGTAGATGATAAAAAGACTTTCTCTGAACAGTCTCCATTGATAAGGGTTTGCTGCATGTATGTGGGAGTGATGTCAAAAGGTGCAAGTGAACAATCCCAGCTCCAATATTCTCCCTTTCTACATTCAGGATTTAATGTTAGTTCTGATCCCAGGGGAAGAAAAACGACATGTCATCACTCAGCTGTGTACCTCCAAAAGCTGAATTCTGTCCAGTGTGATAGTTATAAAAGTGAAAATAGCTACTCATTATTTTCACTGATTGCTAAGCACTAAAAATGCCAATTTCAAAAATAGCATTTTTCTAATGATGCCCACTGTTATGCAGAGCAACGATCACAATAGAGTCTGGGCCTCCTACCCATCCGCCCAGGGCACCCTCAGCATCCCAAAGTGTCTATCACACAGCAGAATTTTCAATGGAGCTGATGTTCTGAGTAGTGAAATGACACTTTATCATCCTGTGGTTTATTACGTGTCACATGTCACTAGAAATGAACTAAGATGTTAGCCCAGTGGGGCAGAATGCATTCAAAGTATGAAATATTCCCAGCAGGGGGTTACAGAAAAAAATCCCGTTTGTGCAATGTAAGAAGGGTGAGGAGAAATGGCATTACCTGGCTGTGATAAGCAAACAAGCATGGGCTGCTGTTGCATTTGAGACGCATAAGTAACCCGAGTGTGTCCCGGCTGTGTTCTCTTTCTACTACTAACCTTCCCGGAAAGGAGCACAACAAAAACGACTTCCAGGTATATAACGATTCATTGTAGCAAGAGCTCCATCCTCAGTTGTTCAACTTCCTCTTCCTGATTTCTTTACAAGGGCTTGTGTCCTCCCAACCTACTATTCCTTTTGTGCTTCTCTCCTCCCTAAGTTAAGATTTCTCACTAGAGGCTATCTTGAATTTTCCTTATGATATTCTCCAGGCTTAAGCAAGTGAGTTGTCTGACAGGAAAATGAACTGAGACAGAAGTTAAAGAATAAAACACAATTTTTGAGTTTTGTATCATACTGAGGACTAACAAAGCCTATTAAAGCCCCTACACACATTTTTTAATACCAGCTATAAGGAGAAAACTCCACTTTTATTTTTTTTCACAAGTGAGAGGCACAGGTACCAGAACGTTATATCCTCCATGCAAATGACATCCACAGAGTAGTTGGATAGAAGATTTGTGATTCCTTTGTGTGCTATGGCATTCATTCCCAGGTTCCTCAATAGATGTTCTGGCCCTGGGGAGCAGAGAGCAGGGAGGGCTGAGATGCACATTGTCATTGGGAAGAAAATGTTCAGATTTCGCAGCAGGATTAAGATAAGCTTATTAAACAAATATCATTTTTTTCTAAAGCTGCTATGTTATTATGAACACTAATAACATCTTTTAAAGTTGCTTAGGCTTCTTTTCTGAGAAAGACTCAATTGAGGCGACAATTCAAGTGACAAAAATGATGCACATCAAGAAAAATTAGTCAGCCAAATGCACAAATAACCATCCTCATGTGTAGCATACATAAGGCACCATTGTCACAGGTGGCCAGCCACACCCATTAACTTACTGCAAATGTGAATCTGTATACTGATTAATAAGGATTCAGTAGGTGGGCACCAGTGACTCATGCCTGTAATCCTAATGGACATCAGGAGGATCTCAGTTTGAGGCCAGCCCGGAAAAATAGGTTACAAGACTCTATCTCAAAAATACTCAACACAAGAAAGGGCTGGCAGAGTGGCTTAAGTGGTGGAGCACCTACCTAGCAAGTGTGAGGCTCTGAGTTCAAATCCCAGTACTACCAGAAAAAAAAAACAATGATTGGTAAGGATATCCCTTGGGAAGAAGATAAGCTGTATATCCACTCTGGTACTTTTGGGAGGATAGTAGCACTTACAGTTTACGTTAAGACAAGAAAGAATGTTTTGTTTGTGAATCAGAGTTCAGCACAATTAAGTCCTCTAGTACCTTAACTTTTTTATTCTCACTTGCTTAGGTGCCCAGCCCTAGTACAGAGTTTAATTATGTCTTTACCATATTTTCTTGCAAAGATAGATAGATTGACTGATTGATTGCCTGAAAGAACCTTCTCATCTCAAAAATTTCATTCCAATTTAGTATTTTTCAACTGAGTTCTTAAAAATTTGAGGTAATATATTCATAAATATAGATAGAATTAATGATCTTAGAAAATCATCAGAACTATTGAGAAGCTTTATTTCTTATTTCCTCCTTTAAGGCATTATTTTTAGTTTAAAATATGTTGGTTGGTGATTTTTTTAAACAAATATAGGAAGTTAATGACAAGCAGTAGAGTTTATCAGTAATAATTCATTTTTAAACAGTCAGAGGAAACAAATTAATCACTCATTTTAGAGGAGTCAGGAATTTCTATTAGAAGAGATGACCCAATTTCCTAACAGATACAGCATGGGAAACCTTCTACGTTCTCTTCAACATTTATGCACTAGATAAGAGCACTGTTTTTCTAGGCAGACTTGTAGTGTTTCAGAACTTTAAGACATGTTCCACAGTAGAAATGAGGCAAAGGTGTGGTCAAGCATTGCGGGAGAATTATATATACAGTGGCAATGGCTTCAAAACTCTTTGTCTCTGTGGCTTTGAAACCTCAGGAACACTTAGGCCAGGGATTAGCGTGTATCAGTTTGCTGGCATTATCCACTTGAAAGCCCCATATCACTTAGGTGAAGTTTAGAAGTTAGCCCACAGCGAAGAGCAAATTAATTATATTCATCTCACAAGGTACAAAACTTAAGAGAAAGAGAGAAGCACAGAGGGGAAACTAGTTAATATTCCATTTGTTTGGGTATGAAGAGCAGAACTTCCTGCTGGAGGAATTAAAAGCCCAGTGGATTCAGTACTTCAGCAGAGGTCCTGTATTCTAGTTGATAAAGCTTGGCTGTTGCCAACATGCACATCTGATGTGCAGATTTCAAAGGTATCTTTGTGACTGTTGAAATGGGAACATACACATGGCTAAATTACAAAGCAAATCCAAATGAAAAACAAAAACAAATCATAAAATCAACTTACCACCCTTTTTTATTTTGTCTTTGTGTCTTTAGCCGCCTTGTAGTGATCGAGGTGCCATTTCAGCAACAGCGACATAGCTATACACCTGTGTGCCACCTTTCATACCATGCATCCCCAGGGGCTTTGCAGTGCAGACACAAGTGAGGCTCCAGGACAGGCCTAGCTCACCAAGCACCATAGGACTAAATTTCCTTTAGAGCTGAACCTCTATGAAAAAAAAATGAAAACATCAGAAAGAATTATAGCTGAATTCCCTCTAATCCATAATAGCTAAATTCCCTATTGATACATAATCTGGTAATTTTCAAACATTGAACATATGATTTCTTATATTTTAATTCTTTATATCTGAGTTCAATTTTGATAGCATATTCTCCTTTAACTTATTTCAACATTATGTGTTGATGAAAGCCATCCTCAATCATAAAACAACTGAAGGGGTTCAGCATTGTAGTGAGTTAACCTGTAGAATATGAATTCTTAATCAAATACCACTTTCCTGTCTCAGACATTTTTTAATAGCTACCATTTCTGCAGTTCATTAATCTGATTTACTAGTTGTCATTCATTAAAATAGAGCCTCTTTAGGCTTATTTGACCAAATTTTGACATTAATTTTATAGTACAATTTGGTTGACTTGTTCAATAAATTTAAATGAGAAAATGTGTTGAATACAAATAAGCCTTATTTAGTCACTACGTGGTTCATGGGGGATGAAAAAGCAATTATGATACTAATTTTAACCTCCTTTTTGTTATTGAGTGCTTAAATTAAATACCTCCATCCTAACATGATGGGGGAATTGAGGCTTTGCCCTCTGACCACATCTGAATAGAAAACTTCTTTGGAAATTGAAAGCACAAAATAAAAACTACCTGTAATTATTCACACAATACGATTGCTTATGCCCTCTTTCCTTTTTCTCCTCCTCTTTTCTCCTGATATGTATCTTCTTAAAAGTGCCAATAAATGGTAAGTTACCCAATTCGCCCCATGGAGAAGTTGTGGAGGGAGTGGGAGTGTGTGTCTCACCTGTAGACTCGTGGAGCCAGCCGTGCTGCCCTGGGCTGGCCTGCATGTTTGCTGTTGTAGAACATTCCACATGTGATGTGTTGGTCTGCAGTATTTTGTCAAGCTTTCTGATACCAGAGCATGCAAAGTGACTCATCAAAATGTTATCCCCAAACAGGTTCCCTTTTAATTTTTCCTCTCTTCTTTGATTTCATGTATTAAGTCCCCATTCCCATTGCTAGCTTTATAAGCCACATCATTTTGTGTCCTTTTCTTTTGCTCACAGAACATTTGTACAGAGTTTATTTACTTCATCACACAAACTAGATCACTAACATTGGAAAGACTTCAAGCCTGGTTTTGTACCAGGTCTTGATGAAGTTTCAGATGGAAACTTCTACCAACTTGAGCAGTGAAAGGCTAAAAAGCTCTTATCCATGACCTTTGCAGAAGCAAGGTATCGTTTGGACTACTTTGTAAAATTGAAGATTTCTGCTTGATTCCTATTAATATTCCCACCCCATTTAGATTTCCAGACATGTAACTTTTCTTTTCTGGCCAAGCCATCCATGGGATTATACAGCTGTAGGTTGAGGGATGTTAGCAGTCAACTTCTTACCATTCCGTGACCCTGATCTGGCCCATCGGTTTGCCCTCATTTTCTCCCTGGCCTTCTTTTCCTAGATGAGACCCACACGATGGCCAGCGATACCAGCAGCCTGGTTCAGTCCCACTCTTACAAGAAGCGTGAGGCAGCTGATGTGCCCTACCAGACCGGGCAGCTTCATCCCGCCATCCGGGTTGCAGACCTCCTTCAGCACATCACGCAGATGAAGTGTGCCGAGGGCTATGGCTTCAAGGAGGAATATGAGGTGAGCATGAGCCAGGTACTATGCTTCCAGCACATTCAGCAAGCCATAGGGTCCAAGAGATTCCAGAGAGGAGCCGAATGGCTCATCCGTGGATCCTTTTCCAGCTGGTAGTAAGAATTATTACCTGGGAGTTTATGTGTTAGATGGGAAAGGAAAATCACTTCACTCTTTGCCTTCTTCTGTATAAACATGCTGCTTACCAAGCCCTCTTTCCCTCTCTGTTCTTCATCACTTTCCTTCTTTGTTCTTTATCACTTTCCTTGGCTTTTCATGTAATTAACTATAATATTAAATCCTAATTTTGTAGAAGTTATCTAAGGAAAACTACTGTCCACTTAAAGCAATTATAGACCAACCAGTGATGTGATGTGGTAGAAATTAGATGACAGTAAAGAGACTGACTATTATCTTGACTATGACAGCTGCTATTGCCCTGCAAGGCCAGACAGCACACCTCTATCCCGGGCTGTCCTATGGACAGCTGTCAGGGTGTTTCTGGGTTCTCAATATTTTCCTACTATATATAAAACACAGGGTCCACCCTCTTCACACCCTTTGCCATTCGTGAATTCTGTTTGAAGGTCACTCAGGAACTGAAGAGCACTCACTGACTTGAAGAAGTCTGACTCCAAGAAGAATGCCATTGCTCACGTGGGTGTAGGGGAAGCAAAGTAGGAAGGATTGCTTTTCTTATGTTATTAGAATTAGTTTACAGTCATTCATGAGGACAAAATGGTATGATTACTCAGAATAGAAACAGGGCTATATACACACATAGCTTTTTAAACCTCAGAATGTTTTGTCAGTCCTGTGTCCACATAATTAGCTCATAATTGGGAAACATCTAGTTTGGAGTTAGGTATTTTTTAAATCAGCTCCTACTTCTTCTTAGAGCCTATGAGTGAGCGTCATATTCTGCTTCTGTCTCCTTTTGGGGGTTTGCTCACGATGTGTCATCTCATGCCTCTGGTGCTGCCTTGCCATGGGTAAGCTTCTATCAAAGATCCACTACATGTGCAGCAAGGTTGGCCAAGCCACTGCTACCCTTAAGAGTAGGTCTGTGGTCCAAAGCAGAGAAGTAGACACACCTTCCCTTGCTCACATTGAGTCCTGATGGGGAACCAGTGACCTTAGTTCAGAGACTGCAAGACCAAGGAAGCCAATCCAAACTGTGTCCCCAGGATTTAATTTTAGTCCAGAAAATATTTTCAGATGAAGTTTTGCATTTTAGCAACCCTGAAATTCTTAGATTTACCTTTAGCAGTTCAATGTATAAATCAGTGAAATTGACTGCCTTTGCATATTGCCTCATGCACTTTTAAAAGGTAGCTTAGGAATTAATAGGATTAAGAGTAAGACTTTCAAAAGCATTAATATCTTATGAAAGACAAAATTAGGTTATTGAGAAAATATAACCCTAATGAACGGAGATGATGTCTTAGTTCTATCCAATATTCTGAATACAGATATTGCTCAAATGTTTATTAAGATGTTAGTGTCAAAAAGATTAGTTATAGGCTCAAATAGCAATTATAAAATAGCTGGACTATTTAAAAATACCTACCTTGCAATTTCTATAACAAACTATATAGGCAATACATATTTGAAAATATGCAAAAAGTATTTCCATTTGGGTCTCCTGAAGACATTGATTTATAGTTTGGATCTTACACTCATTTTAAATATATTATGATTGACAATTCATTAAAAGCTGATACCCTAAAAAATGTTGCATTAATATATTACATTTCAGAAACTTCTTTCATTATGTCTATTTAGTGATCAGAAAAGATGACTTTGAAGAAAACTCTTAAACTCCAAATCAGTTATCAGTTTTAAAAATATAAGGAAAGAAAAGGGAATGGAAAAAGTGAATATACTAGAAAATGAAGCAGGGACAAATGGAAAGGAGCTATTGAGAGAATATGAAATGGAACATCCTGTTAGGAATAATCTTATCACTTAGTACCTCTGCCCTTGTCTCCAGCTGCCCTCCCAGATGCAGGAGGGATGACATGTGTGGGTGCACCTGTGTGATGACTGTAGGGATTAGGGAACCCCTTCTAAGTAGCATCTTACCTGAAGCCTAAAGTCCTGGAACTCACCATCTTTGTCTGTGTGTGCCACTAAATTACTTAAAATTTGTGCCTAGATCTTTATTATGGTCATAACCAAGCTTCAGGGACTTCACAGTTCGGTGAAAAGTCCTATTCTGCGATTATTCTTGCTCTGTTTCTCTATCCCCAGATACTTTTTATCCTAGTGTGAATCTGGAAAATCTTCAAATGGTTATTTTTTAAAGTTCAGGTGGAAAGACTAGCAGAGTGGCTTAAGTGGTAGAGCGCCTGCCTCGCAAGCTTGAGGCCTTGAGTTCAAACCCGAGTACCAACAAAAAAAAAGTCTGAATTAAAGTTCAGATGGATTTCCTATTTCTTTTAGTCATGCTCTGAAGTATGCATCCTTTCTGTAAACCATGGGAAAGTTATATCCAGCCTGAGTCTCAGTTTCTTCATCTGTGAAATGGAATAATTGCAGTATCAACCTTCTGATGTTGCTGTGAGGATTAATCATTTAATATGTCACAAGTGTTGGAATTGAGTCTAGCATAAAGTAAGAATTCATTTGAAATGTTATCTAGTGGAAGAAACAATACTAGCCTGTGATAATATCCAAGAAAAGTCACAGCATATTCTTTGTCGGGAAATGACCCATCTCTGTCATCTCTGGTGTATAGTAGTTGAGGACAGTTAGCCACACACTATGTGGAAAGGTGTCAGTAGGTTTTGCTCTATCTCCAAGGCTAGATAATTTCCTCACCATGGATCACATATTATCAAAAGCTCCCATTAAAAGTAACTTAAAAATAAGTAAGTAGATTTGATTCTCTGGACTAAGAGTTTAAGAACTGAGAAAATATTTTAAAACATATGCTATCCCCTTTTATTGCTAAATAGTATTTTCCTGTCTAAGGAAAGTCCTAACGAATAGTATAACTGTATACTACAGAGTCCTCTGTCTTTGGTGTCTCTGGGAAAAGTAAGAAAGATCTGAAGGAGTTTAAAGTAATCAATTGTGCACTGCGCTCACTGCCAGAGATACAGGGGAGACCCTTACCACCCTACCCTCAGGAAGCTCATAGTACAGGCGAAGCATCCAGGTAGCATAGCAACTGCAGTGCATCTGCTCAAAACCCACACCCTCCAGACACATATTCAGGGTTCTTTACAGGCCAGTGGGGGACACCTGAGTCAGCTCAGAGCAAGGATGACTCTTCCTTAAAGGATGAGTGGGAATCGACCAGGATTAGATGAAAGAGGAAGCATTCTAGATAGACAATGTGAGAGAATGGGATGCACTGGAGAAATAGCCCCAGTTCTGTCAGCCTGATTTGGGAAACCAGGGTGGTTAGGGCTTCAGTCACAAAGGACCTCTTGTATCTTATATCAGAAGTTTGACCATCATTCTGGAAGTAGTGAGAAGAAAAAAATAAGACTTGGCACGAGTCTCGCTCCTATATGTGGATGGAGATTGATTTAGTATGAACAGCTCAGTTTGTAAATATTATTTGTACAAGACATACAGGAATTGCTTGAATGGTACTAACTAGTAGCCCACAAAAGCAAAGGGAAAATCTATTTGCTGAGAAAGGGTAATGGGAAGTACATTGGTGTATCCCTGGTCAAAGATGCTATGCAGTGCTTGGCAACCAGATGTGCTGAAGCCATGGGAACCTTCAGAACAGGAGCATCTGTGGAGAGAAAAGACAGCGGGTACTCCAGCTGCCTCTGTGACTCAGTGTACCCAGCCACCCCATCCTTCTGCTCTTCTCCAATCCATGTATGTTGGAAAAACCAGTCACCCAGGTAACTCAGTATTTTTGAAACAGTGAGTTTCTCTCTGTTGACTTTGTTCCAACCAATTCTTCTTTATCCTTTCCAAAACAGCAGTGTCTGAAAATTGGCCTAAACACTGGAAGACTTCATTATTGATCAAGTACTCAACAGAAGTGTGTCCAAATAAGAGGGAAGCATGTGATAGGGATGAGATGGAGTCACCCTCTGTGCAAATTTTTTATTTGATTTTGTTCTAACAAGATAGTCATATGGCACATCTCACCAGGGAGACACAGTAATTTGATTCAAAAGAGACTCAGACATGAATCACAATAAAGAAATAAACATACTGAATGGAACAGAAAATGGCATGTTGTCAGCAGAGTGGCCCAGGGGTCTCAGGAGAAAGACCAGGTAGAAAGGGAGAGTTTGTGCTGCTGCAAGAGATGAGCAAGTTCTTTCTCCTGACAAGCAAAGGGCAGTCTGCTGACCCCCTGGGGGCTCATCTCCCCAACCCTGAGGATTGCTTGGCCTTTAGTCACCTGCAATTGAAAAGTGAACTTCACCATGGCCCTGCAGTTTTGCCCTGACTCCATAGCCCCCATGCTAGTCATGCGAGGTGGTGCTGGGCCCCTAGTTGTCACAGCAGTGTGAGAGCTGCAGGTTGTTCAATACTGTGTCAGAGACAAGGCAGTGGTGACCCTGTGTGGTCTGAGAGTGACTTTTCTCTCCCTCTGTGGTCCCCAAAGGGCCTAGTTCACACCTCAGTTTTTGAGCTGATCCAAAGTCCCTTTGGGGATCTAGGCAAAAAGACATCACCTAAAGTAGACAAACAGCCATGCCATTTGGAAAGAATATGTGTTGCTGTTTATGTAAAATTAAGGTAAAGGAAGGGCAACAATTGAAAACCCCTTCCAAATAGGAAAGCATCCTGGAAAACACAGGTGCCTCTACTTCAGTCACTATCATTCTGAGGCCCAGAAGTTTATTTTCCCATTACTAGAGCTGAAACTTTCCAGAATCCTAAATTACTCTTTGCATCCTACTTTTCAAAACAGTAAATGTGTGGACCAGGCTCAGTGGCCAACAACATCTATAATCCCAGCTACTTGGAAGGCAGAAATCAGGTTCAAGGCCAGCCCAGGCAATAAGTTAGTGAAACCACATCACAACAATAGCTGGGTGTGGTGGTACACACCTGTCATGTCAGCTACATGGGAAGCATAATTAGGAAGAGCGGGGTCCAGGTCAGCCCAGGCAAAAACACAAGACCCTATCTAAAAAATAACCACAGCAGAAAAGAATGGGGTCATGGCACGAGTTGTAGAGTACTGCCTAGTAATTGCAAGACCCTGAGTTCAAAACCACAGTACTGCCCAAAAAATCACGTGTGTGTGTGTGTGTGTGTGTGTGTGTGTGAACTTCTAAGTGTGTTTAGAAAAATGTTATCTATATCCTATTTGTTTCCTCATGTGTCTTTCTGCAGGGCACAAACCCTGCTGATTAATTTTATAGTTGAATGTGGATATTGTTTTTTCACTTGATTTAAACTGGGGAATTGAAGACATTACACCAAAATCTTACAGTATTTCAGTGTTTCTAAGGAACCTGGATTTTCTTTAAATCTTTTATTTCCTTGCAGCCCCCTTTGAAATGTATATGTTGTATATTCTCCCACCCCTTAAAATTCTTAAACAGCTGAGCTTGTTAAATGCAAGCACAATGTTTTATGTGGTCTCTTTGTCTATATTGGATAAAGTTCTGACAATCTAGCAGTGAATTATTATTGAAAAGTCTCCCTACCCCCTAACATCTCACTGTTTTTCATTTGCTTGCCTTCTATCTCAGAGAAGCCACCATAACTGACAAAGAAATCACTGCTTGAAAAACTCTGCTGTGTGGCAGGGTTGAAGTTCTAACTCCCCATCTTCAAATGCCCTTAGATGGAAAAGGCCCTTAGCCTGGGAAGACAGGTCCCAGCCCTTATTAGATGGCCTAGCACAGGGCACTTGTTTCTCCCTTGGCAGAGGGAAAACTGCACGTATTTCTAGAAGCGTTTAAGCAGTGGTGCACAGAAGTCCCTTTTTTAGGTTTTGAAAACAGAGGCACTAGGTGTGACTTAGCTGCTGGAACCTTTAGCTGAGCGTGGCTCACTCAGTGGTTCTGCGATGCTCTGGGCCTTCCTGAGTGGAAGGCACCTCCCCCGCACCGCCAGCCCACGCATTTCTCAGCCCTGCCGTTCAGTTCCCACTTCATATTTCCAGGCACCAGCTGAGTCCATCAATTGCCACAATCAGTACAGGTTATTTTCTCTCCCACAGGATACAAAACACACAAAAC